ATGAGAAATGAATGTCTTGGAAATAGATATGAAAATTCAAAGAGCTAAGTGAGGTGAAGGAGAAGGAATTGTAACTAGGATGGTGATGTGAACTGAGAAAGGAAGACTGACTAGAAGGGTAATTTGAACATGCCGAACATCAGATCCCTTTGAGACATCCAGGTGGAGATGTTGGGTAGGAAATTGGGTGTAAAGGCTGCAAAGTCAGAAAAGCAGAAGTCTGAACAATGTGTCATTTGAATTAGATGATCGAAACCTCAAGCTTGGATTAAATCTCCTAGGGAGAACCAGTCCCTCCTTTCCACCTGCACTGCCATCAGCATCTACTTTCTGCCAGGTTGCTCCAGTCGCCCTCTCTCACCTCAGCTGAACCCTTTGATGTCTCCAGAAGAGCCCTTTTGCTTGTCCTTAGGTGATCCTTTGGAACTCCCCATAACAGCTATTCTAAACCTTTGCCTATTATGCACTTTAAGCTGCTGATCTACTCCTGGTTTAAACCTCACAGAGAAAATAGAGCCTGTCAAGTACAATTTTTAGCAGTTTATCTTCCTCTAAGCTGTTATCTTCCCTCTTCCTATTTTAGAGGAAGAAAAGGTATATCCTTTTTTAAGACTAACGACCCCATCTGTGCTCTGGATCTCCTCAGTCTCTTTAGAGTTCTGACTCTTAATTATGAATGGTTATGAGTTTCCTCTGGAGCCAAATTGCAAGAGTTCAAATCTCAGTTCCACTACTAGTTTCTGTGTGACCTTGGCCACGTTACTTAATTTTTATGCCTAAATGTCCGCATCTGTAAGATGCAAATAATAATAGTAGCTATCTCATAGGATTTTTGTGATTTAGAAGTGCCTGACAACGGTAAGTACTCAATATTATGTTTTTGTTTTCTTTTTCTTTTCAGTGTTTTGGCTTCCTTTCTCTTGTTCCCTCAAGCTTTTAAACTTCTAGTATGTTCAGGATTTCCCCAGTCAGAAGACAGCTTCCATGGTTAACACTCAGTCTTCCCTTGCCCCTTCACCATCAACCATGCTGTGTTTTCTGTCTTTACCTCAATTCCCTGTGTATCCTTAGCCCCATTACCCTGGACTTCTCCCTCATTGCTCCAATCTCCTGAAATGCTCAGAGGTCTAATTGCCAAGACCGGTGGTCTGTTTTCAGTCATTATCAAACATTGCCATTTTTGGTATTGATGACTTCCTTCCTCAAAACACTCTCCATTGGCTTCTAGGATGCTGTTTTCTCCCTTCTTTTTCTTCTTAGCTTTCCTATAATTTCTTCTTAGTCCCTTTGACTTGTTTCTCTTTTGCACCAACTTAATGTTGGTGCTTCCATGATTCGGACTATAGTCCAAAATATCTATTAAATCCATGCTCATACTTCCAGTAGAAATCTCCACCTAGACGTCTTGCTCATTCTTCAAAATTAACATGTCAAACTGTACCTATCTCCCCTTTCTGTTTCTGCACCCCAGTCTAGGGAATCCTGGGTTTTCTTTGATACTACTTCTTGTTTCACTCACTGTATTGGCTCTACTTTGAAATATCCTTGGATTTGTTTTTTGTTTTCAACTCCACTACTGTAGCTTAGACCTTTTTCCTCTGGACATTTTTAGTTGCCTAAAAGTGGTCTTCCTGTTTCCATTGTTCTTGCCAGTTTCTCCCTCGCACTTTTCAGTGTTAATTACCTCAAGCAGAAGTGTCTCCCCATCAGAAAACTCCACAGACCTCATTTCTGATAGAAAGAGCCCAAACTCCTTGCTGAGGCTTAATGTACCTATAACTTACAGCTAGATTTGGCTGACATTAGTTGCATTGTAATTGCAGAGTACACATTTCCTTTCTGTTTTCAATTGCTGGTACATGATTAATTTTATTAACTTCCAAGTCAGAGTTTAAAATGTTTGAGATATATCACTTATTGTTGACAGATAACATTCAAACATTGATTGATTGGATGGATATAAGGCTTGAAATATTGCCTTCATGCTTTTTAAAGATGGGTTGAGCAAGTGTGACTTACAAATCAACATTATGGACTTGGAGTTTAGAGGAATTGGGGTCTGTTTCTAGTTATTCACTATTTTTGTTACTTTGAACTTTCTTTATCTCTGTTCAAAAAAGCGAAATAATGATTCTTAATTTGCTGTACACAGATGAACGGTGAAGATCAGAACAATACTCTTAAAGCAGTAAGAGAAGATTTAAGAAAAGTGCTCTTTAAAAGTAGGAAAGTGGTAAGGTTGTGTAGCTTCTGAGGTAATTTTCTAGTCTTAATTTTCTGTATCAACCACTTTGTTATTTTAGAGTGAAATGTTCATTTATAAACAGAATGTAGATTAGATTAAATAGGATTGAAGTGGATTATGATTAGATGTGGATTAGATGAGATGAAATTGAAGTGTATTAGAGCCCTTTTAATTCATATGATTAAATGGCCCAATTACCTTAGTAAGTAAATGCTGGGATGTTAGTGTATTTTAACCCCTAGAATTCTTACATGCATTTTTAAGTAACAGCTTTATTGAGATACAATTTATAGAGAGAGATAAAGTACAATTCACTGGTTTTCAGTATATTTACAGAGTTTTGCATCCATCACGACTGTCAAATTCTAAAACATCACTCCAAAAAGAAACCTCATACCCATTAATAGTCACTCCCTGTTCCTGTCTTCCCTAATCTCCTTTTTGTCTGTGGATTTGTCTGTTGCAAACATTTCATAAAAATAGAATCATGCAATGTGGCCTTTTATGCCTGGCTTCTTACACTTAGCATAACATGTTCAAGGTTCATCCATGTTGTAGCAAGTATCCGTACCTCATTTTTGAGGCTGAATAATATTCCACTTTATGGATATACCACATTTTGTTTATTCACTCATCAGTTGATAGACACTTGGGTTCTTTCTGCTTTAGGGCTATTATGAATAATGCTGCTATGAACATTTGTGTGCAAGTTTTTGTATGGTCATGTGTTTTTATTTGTGCCTATCCCCAGGAGAGTGCCATTGCTACGTGTTAACTACATGTTCAACTTTTTAAGGAATTGCCAGACTGTTTCCCGAAGCAGTGACACCACTTAACAATTCTGTCAGCAATGTATAAGGAAGGGTTCCAGTTTCTCAACAGCCTCACCAACATTTGTTGCTTTTGTCTTTTTTGTTATACCCATCCTAGTGGGTGTGAAGTAGTATCTCATGGTGGATTTGGTATGCACTGTCCTATGACTATGGTGTTGAACTTTTTTACCAAGAGTTATTGGCCATTTTTATATCTTTGAAGAAGTGACTATTCAAATCCTTTACCCATTTTAAAATCAGGTTATTTGTTGTTGAGTTATAAGGGTTCTTAATATATTCTGGATGCAAGTTCCTTATTGGATATATGATTTGCCAATATTTTCTCATTTATGAGTTATCTTTTCATCTTACATGTATTTTTGTTTCTTAATCAAATTGCTTGACATTAATTTTGGGTATCATTAATATTTTTGCATTATTTGGTATTTATATTTTATTAAGTATAAGTTCTTGCTTTAGAAAAGCTAACATGCACCAAAGTAATTAATGAAGCTTACAAAAATTATGAATGTAGTAAAGTTAATGTAAATACCACATTCCTTAAAGAAGATGAAAAGATTAAAAACTGGTTTTAGAGCTTTTGCTATCAAGACCTTGGGTCACTAAAAAAAAAAAAAAAAGACCTATGTAACTGCTTCCTTATCTCAGAGTAGCAAATATAACATGGTAAGAGGTTTGTTTTTCTGGTCAGTATAATCCCAAATTAAGCTATCTTTGTTACAGCAGTAAACATTTTCCTATTCTTTTTTAAGTTGAGATACAATTGACATATAACATTGTGTAACTTTAAGGTATACAAGCTGTTGCTTTGATACATTAATATATTACAGTTATGATTACCATCTTAGCATTAACTAATACCTCTGTCTCATAATTATTTCTTTTTTGTGGTGTGAACAATTAAGATCTAGTCTCTTAGCAATCTTATTTATTGTAATCTTAATTTAAAACTTAGAGATTTTATAAGTGAAATTTTAAAAGCATGTGACTAATCTGTTACTGAATATTAATCATATAATTTTGAAATGTGAGTAGAACAAAGACTTTTTTTTTTTAAGATTTTTATTAGGGAATTGGGGGAAGGGGAACAGACAAGTTGCTGTCCTTTTGTTCTTCAGTCTAGTTGTGGAGGACGTTGCTTCACTGGCCCAAGTTAGCACCATCATTGCGCTCTTCCCGGGTGAGGCACATCAGTCGCTGGCTTCTGGACGGCCGCTCACGGCGGCTGCTGGCTACACACGGTAGCCCATGGCAACCCACTGCAGCAGGGGCTGCAGCCTGTGCCGTCGCCAGCGACTTCCGGCAGCCCAGCTCCAGGTTTAGCTGTGGTTCAGCATCTTAGCTATAGAGGGCAGTGTCACTGGCCCTCATATGTGGGATCCGAACCGGGGCCCTCTGGCGTCCCAAACCAGCTCTTAACCAACACGCCACTCGGCCGGCCCCAAAGACCTTTCAATTCTTCTTTTATTAACAAAAGGTATGCCGTAGGAATAGAATTTTTCCAACCCAGCTATTCTGACCATCTGTTGTGCATTATGAAAATAATTTTGGGGTATAATTAATACCCAGACTGGGGAGATGACTACCCCTAGTCATAGCTCATGGCTCTCAGCAACCTCTATAAGAAGAAAACATTTTAGCACCTCAAGAAGTACTTTTTTTCCAGTTTTAGGGTAGGAGGGCCTGCATAGATGATTATTCCCTTACTCCCACATAATAGTGATGAATGGCTTATATATGTTATCTTGTAAAAGTTCAGTGACTGAAATTAGTGATTGTAGCTCAGATTTTCCAGTTTCCCTATTGGATAAGTATACCTTAAAAAATGTGTGTGTGTCAGTCTATAACCAAAAATTACAGTGTTTTATATTTGGCGTGATAACAACTGAAAGCCTCTTTCTGGTTTTCTTTTCTCGTTACAGGCCTCAGGAGTGCAAGTTGCCGACGAAGTGTGTCGCATCTTTTATGACATGAAAGTTCGCAAGTGTTCCACACCAGAAGAAATCAAGAAAAGAAAGAAGGCTGTCATTTTTTGTCTCAGTGCAGACAAGAAGTGCATCATTGTAGAAGAAGGCAAAGAGATCTTGGTTGGAGATGTTGGTGTGACCATAACCGACCCTTTCAAGCATTTTGTGGGCATGCTTCCTGAGAAAGATTGTCGCTATGCTTTGTATGATGCAAGCTTTGAAACCAAGGAATCCAGAAAAGAGGAGTTGATGTTTTTTTTGTGGTGAGAGCATTGATATAATTATCAAGCTTCTGTAAAACTCAGAATTAATCTCAATGTTAGTTTAGCACTTGGAGAACCAGTACCTGGGGCCAAAGTAATTTTCAGTCAAGCTATCTGCAGTCAGATAATTTTTATTTATAAGGTTTCATAAGATAAGGTCTTAGCTAGTTTGATGTTTGTGGGACCAAAACTAAATGTTAATTAACTACTACTTGTCTACTTGAAAGAAAATGACTTTCTACAGTTGGTTATTTTTGGTGGTTGAAGGGGCAGGGGATAGATTACTGTGCATCCTCTGAACTCCTTATATGCCGAAATTTCTCTAAAAATTTTTTCTAGAATACTGAAAAGAAAGTTATCCCACCAAAATCCTTCTCCAACATACAATGTCAGGAATCAGCCTCCCACTTTTTACAACACCCATCCTTTACTTCTGCCTCTGGTTTGCTATTTTTGAAGTTGTCATTGCCTCTAACCGTAATTTGCTCGACAGTCACAGTGTCCATTAGTGTAACCACTGGCCACTGTGGCTAATTTAAAAGTATTAAATACAATTTAAAATTTATTTTCTTAGTTGAATAGCCACATTTCAAATGCTCAGTAGCCACATCTGACTAGTGGCTAGCTTATTGGGTAGCACAGATATAGAACATTTCCTTCATTACAGAAAGTTTTATTGGACAGACAGCATTGCTCTAAATAGTCAAAAAAGTGTTATAAAATGCTTTACATGACCTTTTTCTTGAAAGGCTGTTTAAATTAGTTATTCTGGTCTTTTCGAGTAAGTTAATATTTGAGATTAAGCTTGAGTTAAAAATCACACCTGTATCCCTTATTTAATTGTGTTACAGTATGTTCCTTAAGATGGACTTCTTACCTAGTGAAAATATTTCTAGTTTCCACGGGGGAAGGGGAGTGGTAACAGCCTCTGATTTGGGGGGAGTGTGGGTCCTCTTGATACTTTGGCCTGAGCCAGAGCAAGGCACGGGGGTGGGAGTGGCTTGTGTGTCAGGAACAGCTTGGAATGTGGGGATAGGAATTCTGGTTTAAAGGAGTGTAACTAATAGATCACACATCAGTTCCATTTCAGCAAGCCTTTATTGTACTTGACTAAACCAAGATACTGTGAGGACTGTAAATATGAGGCCTGGGTGCATGTATTAGGGCAGCTTACTGTTCTGTAAGCCTGGCAGCCACATACATACATACATACGGATAGTAGTTAATGAGACAAAAGAAGCACATTCCTGATTTGAATGAAGTTGCATTCATTAAACTTATTTCAACTACATGCCAGGTATTGTGTTAGGGCCTGGGAAAACAGCTGTGAATAAAATAGGTCAAGTCTCTGCCCTTCTGGGATTTACAGCTGAGTGGCAGATGTGGCAGCTCAGTAATGGTTTTGACTTTTAAATTGGTGAATATTTTGTTTCTCCTGCTATTTTCCCCTGGTTTTTATACTATTTTTTCACTATGAAAATGACCCTCCTTTATTAAAAAACATTTGGGAAATCAAAGGAGAAAGGAGAAAAGGAAATTCCGTGTTAGTGCAATGTTTTATTTTGCACCACTGCTTTTTTTTTTTTTTTTTTAAAGATTTTT